TATACTTATATACAACCTTATTAGCATTTAATTTACCATATGATCAAATAAAACTCGGACTGGGTTTAAATTTTTTTTCTGACGTTTTAGTCAAACTTTTTTTTATGTTTGTGTGAAGTTTGGTCTCTTTGACAGTTAATATGTAGTTGGGAGCAACGACGCGAAAAGTTTGTCTGGCGCTTTTTATCATGAAAAAAAAAATTAACAACGATTCTGAAATTTTGTGTTTCTAATGGAATTACGGCTACGGAATTATTGAAAATGTTGCAGAGGTGTTTTGTATACTTCATCAGGTAAACAAGTATTTGAGTGTCCATACATCTCTGTTAATGATAATACTTTCAAAAAGTTAAAGAAATAATGCTTGTAAAACTTCGTGTTGCCACTAGAGAGATAGCAGAGGATCTTAGCAGCTCCTAAGGATCTACAAAAGGAAGGATATACATCTTGGCTAATGTTTTGGGTATGAAACGTTGATCCAAAAGACCAAAACTTGAGACGTTTTTGTTTTTAATTTAATTCATTCGCTGAAGACACTGAATGCCTTTCCTGCGGAGGCTTATAACAAATGTATGGAAAATTAGATTCAACCTTGGCATGCTTGTATTGACCTAAAGGAATCTATTTTGAAGGCGATAATAAGATTTGTAATAAAATAAGTGAAAATGTTATGTTTTAGCTAAATTTTATGAGATAATAAAGTCTGTAATGATCGTCCATGAAGCAGTAATTCTAAAGACTTATTTCTTTACTACCTTAAAGCTTGTATAGTATAGGAGTATGAATAAAACTGAATTTCTCCAAAAAGGTAGTGCATTGTCTAAAGTAGGTTAGGAAGTTTGAGTTACAACTTCGACTATATACCCATTTAAACAACTTAAGGAATATCATTTTGCTATAATGTCGGAGTGTCGAGGACTATTCATCAAACGCACAAAAAGTAATAAGTTTCTTCATCAAATTTTTCGTAATAATTTCGACAGAGAACTAGTTTTGTCTTGTTGTCTGATCTTGTATATCTTTCGACTCAACAATGAAATCAATTATATTGCATACATTTATTTTCTTCTTTACATATCCATAAACAACATTTATTGACCTCAACAAGCAGCCATCAAAATTTTATTACGAATCCCAGCAATTATCAACGAAAGCTCATTGCGTTCGCTTCGGGAGTCCCATATGCATTTTCGCAATGCGAAAGATTATACAAAGCATGAACCGTTTTCATTGTCTGCTTTATTGACATCTTTAATTGTTGTTGCCACCGTTTTCCAAGCCATTAAAGGAATGAATATGCATGGTAATTTTTGAACTTTTCTTTTAATTCGGATTTCATATTTCCTCGCCGCAGTATCAACCATCTCGTAACCAGCGCAGCGAAGACAGAAATAAGTTCAAGGAATAAGATTTAAGTTGACATCTGTATGTTTGGCCGGGAGTGTGCGTGCAGGAGTGGGGATGAACGGACGTAATGGATGTGGAGTAAATCCGCAAAAGAACAAGCAACGGACAACGGTTACACGACAATAAAACCAAAAACACTCGTTTTTACCCTTGCGACATCGGCTTCAAAAATAATAAACTACGACATTGCCGTCGGTAACCAAAGGAAAGCTGTCACAACAACAGCAACACTGTGCTATTGTTTGTTGATAATAATTTCATCATTATTCATTTGCTCTGCGATGGTTGCTGCCAACAGTGACCCGACAAGTCTTTGTGGACATCGCCAGTCGCCGGGCGTCGTTTGGACACAACGTCACCCAACGGGTGTTGAATATGCCATTCCCTTGACGAGCATACCTACTGATTTCCATACACATATTCGTACCTACAAAAGTAGCTGTGTGAGTAGGGAACTTTACATAAAACGACATATTTAACGTGACCAAATCTACTCAACTTTTGACAGTTTCGGTTTCAGGAATGATTTATGACGCTGGATTTAAATATTATTGGTTGGGCGACAGTGTCTACGCGCCTTGTAACTGTTTAAATTAAACAATGATTTCAATTGTAGCCGAAAAAAGCCAAGACTTGGCAAATGATATTTGTATAACTAGTGATTTTTCTTCAGAAAGGTCAAGATTTACATATGAACGGGATTGCTGTGTAATTAATAATATTAACTTTCATAGGTCAGGTTTCTTGCTCCTACAAAAATAATATAAGGGCTGCCTAAAATAAACTTTATAAAACTATGGACCGTGTTAAAGCTGCATCACTGACTAAAATGACATATTATGAAAAATAAGATATGAACACTTATTTGTTAGTGTCTTTTACAAATGAGAAAGCCTAGCAGGTTTGAGTTTTTGAAAAATGCCCGGATACCCCTTTGTTCGTGAGAACGATAGCCTTCGTAATTTAGATACCGTGATAATATTTGATACAAGTGTTCCTTGGCACTTTGTGGAGGTAGCTGTTGTAGATGGATGAAATCGGTCCATTGACACGCCCACAAAATATAGTTAAGCGATAAATTGTAAAGTAAATAAGTAAAAAATTAGATAAAAAATCGAAATGTACGACATTTTGTACAGGTGATTATAGTGGATAGCGACACTTTCGGTATACAAGTTTTTGAAAAGTGGACATGTTCCCTTTCTTAATACGTTTATTGTATCAAAGCACTAAAGCTTCACCAACAAATCGGTTAACCCCTATGTTAAAGTGATTTAACTCGCTAAAGGAAAACTGCGGAAGTAATAAATTATACAGTAAAGGTGATACAGAAGGATGAAATCTCATATTATTATTATAGGTATACGGCGGCTGGATAGAGTAGTGAACATATCTTATCAATTTTAGTATCCGTGCATACTATTAATACGAAAACCTTCCTTTATGATTCATTTAGGTATTACATCGTTTTGTAATATACTTGTATAAATATTGTAAAGGTGGGGAGCATCCATGAACAAAAAAATAATTGCAACTAAACCAATTATAATTTCTTAACAAACTTATGTAATCTTCTCTGAGTGAATATTGCATAACTTTGACCGATTGAGTTGTTGAGATATGTGTTGGAAACCTCTACTTAGTGCAACTTTAAGTCAATCGCATTACAGCAAAGCAAGATTTTAGTGTTCAGTGCAATTAAGCAAATTGGGTTGAAACATAAATGTATTCTAAGTCTGTGAAACGCCGTGCATGATCAGAAGGCACCTGTTTTAACCAGAATTTGTGGTATAGCTCTATATTTTTTAAAACAAGGCTTATGAATTTAGGCTCACTATGTATGTCAACAATTGCATAAAAAAGGGTTTGAAAGGGCCCAAAATTTCTGATATAAAAATCAGGTATTCCCAAACCAATGACGAGCTCATACCAATCATCAATGCCGAAATCAGTACTTAACTGCCCGAATAAGTAACGTTAAATATAAGAAATAAGCAACTATGGCTAATGAAAGTTACCCATCTGTTCGTCAGTGCAAGCTAAAGCTTGAGGATTGGGCTATCTTGATGAATCTTGATAAAAAATGTTTTCGGAATATTGTTTACAAAATGCCGTTAATAGAAAATCGTCGAAGCAAGCAAACAAAAAAAATCTTATTAAAGCATTTATTGATACTCTATGATCAAAACTAGTGAAGGTACGTTAATTCGGTGCAGGAAAACTTTGGAACTGACTTTTCACCAAAAATATCGGTCAATATGTGTGATATCTTGCTGAAATTCAGTGAGCTTATTTTCCCAATACAAGTATCAATACTTCTCCTTTCGAATTTCCGGCTGGCTTTGATCCGTATATAGCGGTCAATCTGCTTGATATATTACATAATATAACATACTTGAGTTTATATCGCAAATATCTCAATTAAGCAGGGCGAGTATTTTTCGATAAGCCTTAAAACATCTGGTAGTACAGATTATGGCTATTATTATGTTAGTGCCCACAGCACTAATAAGTGCTAGTTAGGTTGCTTTCAATTTAAATATCTCAAGCTTGAAGGAAAATCTAGTAATGAAACTATGTGATTATATGACCTATATTATAAGTTTGTAAGATACCAAACATGTTGGAACTACAAGTACATTCATAATTTCATCGCATAATTAATATTGAACTCATTTGCAAAATTATTTAATATTAAGTTTTCCCACCTCTAAAGTATTCTCCCGTCATTGGGCTTTGCGAGCGTATAAAATATTCGGTTACATCGGAACTTAACCCTTTATTACCCTTTATATATATATATATATATATTTTTATTTTAATTTAAGTTAAATGATCAGCATGACGAGCTGAGTAGATTTAGCGATATCCGTCTGTCTGTCCGTGGGTCTGTATATACAGACGTCCTTTTCTCCCCAAGAAGCTGCTCAGTTGTCGGAAACGCCTAAAATGGAAGACTTTTCCATTTGACGAAGTATCATCGTGGTATATCGATCAAAATCAGAATAGGGATCCTTTTATATCTTTGTATGCTATCAAAAAAACAAACAATTATATAAAGGGTATTCTATGCAATATTATTTGAATAAATTGTTTAGATCGGACCACTATAATCTATAACCTGCCATACAAAACGACCGAACAAAATAAATTTAGTTCATAGAAACTTTGTTATTTGTGGAGGGTATTATAGTTTCGGTGCAATACGAAGTTGTTTTTTACTAAAATATCACCGGAATTGACAATAACGGTTTAACACAATTCTGATTTGAAATAAGAGTTAATTTGTACCGGATGTCAGTTTGCACTTCAAAGAGAAGTATCTTTCTTCTTTATTGTGTCATAAAAATGTGTGTGTCGTCAGTAAACTTTGCCAGTTAATTACGATGTCTGATAATTTTTGATTTGCTTGTCTCCTAGTTTGAATAAACGAATATTTATGCACGAATGTTAATTCCCTATACTTCGTAGGTATCCACTGGGCATCCCACTTTCACCACCAGACAAGTCCATTTAGTGCGGACCACTACAACGTTTTTTTGGTGCTTTTTATGAGCCCTTTACCTGTCTGTAGCCAATCTGTGCATTTGACAGTTTAATCAGTTGGAGGAAATCGCGTGGACAAGGGTCACGTGACCGATGAAACAGTCGCGCGAAACACAGACACAAAAAACGAAACTGTAACAAAATTGTATGCGAACATAAGAGGAGACACTTTAGCGGAGAGAACAGGAGGCAGGTAGACGCAGACGTGGCGCACAGTGAATGGATGTAAATACAGCAAACAACAAGGAAAGCAACAGCGTAGCAGTAAAAAAAAAAAACAACCAACAATAACTGCAACGTGTCCTACGAGGGCACGTCAAGTAACACTTCTGACAGTTTTGTGTTGAAATTTGTTTGCGCTCATGCCGCCCGAAGAGCGGCTGTGAAATTTGGATATGCAAAAACGAAAAAAGTTTCGGGTCAAGCTATGAAATTCATAAAATAAAGTTGGCAAACTCAGCTTAAATGCAGCCGCATGTAAAATTGTAAATGCAGTAGTGCGTGGTGAGGACTACAACAATTAAGCGCGATTGTGGGAACATTACCAGCGATTCGTGCTTTGTATTTTCACATTTATGAATGTCGCTTTTTGAGGGGTGTTATTGAAGTATATATTCACCATACAGACACTCTGCCCCTTTCTATGAGCGGAGAACTTTCGTAAAACATTTTGAGAGTTTAACCAGCGCAGGGGAGTAAATTACACCACAGTTGGTGAATACTAGTTCGTATGCGGTCGTTTGCTTCCAAACATTCGCTCAGGCCGTTAGCACTCGATTGCTCGCTCGCTTCTTCACTCGTTTGTGGTGAGTTTTTGGCGTTACGTTGAACGGAAAACGCTGCCATGTGATGTTCGTAGCCGAGCGTTGCCACGTTCCAAGTCAGTTAACTCGGAAGCGTGGCCATGTTAGTGTTGTGGCAAGTGCTATCGCGCATACTTTGCAGTTCAAATTGGAATCAAAGTCAAAACTTAAGCCTTTAAGGCCGTTAAAGCAAGTTAGAGTGTGTTACATGGAGATTTCAAGTGAAGCAATTTAAATTTAATGAAAATTATATTTGCAAACCAATAAATGTTGAAGTGAAAATTTAATAAAATTATATGTAGTGAATTAAACAATATATAATAAAAAGAAAAATTCGAAAATAAATAAAAAATTTAATAAATTTGGCCGAAAATGCAATAAATTTCGTTCATACAACATAGCTGTAAACCATAATCAAATAGCGGTAATTGCATCTATTTTACTGCAACAGTGCAAACAAATCGTTTTCATATTAATTCAGTCTCCATAGTTTTTTATTAATTTCAATTTCTATACTTTTTTGCAATTTCAAATAAATTGTCGACACGACAGAATTGAGCTTGGTAAGCAGAATACCTGCCAAAATGGCAAAATGCCGCATCAGCGTTGGCAGCAAAAATGTGTGCCTTGTGTGGCAAGCAAATTATAAGGGAACACAAGTTGTTGCCGTTGTTGTTATGTGTGTTATGTGGCATATAGGTGTGTTTGAATGGCCACAAGAGGCATTAGCAATGATTTGAACTCAATCCAAAAATCTGATTATGTTAATGTGCGCGGCAACAGCCAAGCGCCAACAAATGGCGGGTGACAATAAAAATGAAGAACATAAAATAGCGTGTTTGCGAGGAAAATACAAAGCGGAGAACTAAAGTCATGTTCCTCATGTACTGAAATGACATGCAGACGTGCTCTTAAACTTACATATAACACATAATAACGGTGTATCTAGGTGGGTGGTGCTGCAGCTAAAAGCCATATAGTTCGTTTTGTTGGTGAAAAGTGTGATTGCGGCTATGCTTGGGATAGGTATTTCTCAGCATTTAACTAGCTATTTTATAACTTTGTGTTAACGATTTTTATATCTCTTCATTCTTTGTACTCGGGAGAGTAATATTCGATGAAATAACTGAAACCAAATAGGATATTAAGACCATGTTATTCATATAAATGGATATATGAATGTACATATAAATTGCATTTGAAAACCGCAAAATTTATTTTAGCTAAATTTTCCGCAAAGCTATTTCTAAATCAAGGAAAAATTTGTGTAAAATTTACATATATTTGAAGGAGTTGCCTCCTGCCTAAAAATTATTGCAAGAGTTCGTAAAAAATAGGTTTTCGAGTAGATAGATTAGGGCGCACCGAAGCAAGTTGGCCATTTCTAATGCAATAAACTTTCACAAACCACTTTTATAAAGACTTGATGGTAGAATGCTTAAATATTACGCTGTTCAAATTTTTTATTCAACTAATAGAATCTTTTTCCGTTTTTTTAGTTAGTTTTAACGATATCTCCATATGCATTCTTTTATCTTCTTACAATACTGTATCGTTAAACTAGAGACAGATAAACCTTATTACAGACATTCTGAATAATGATACACCTTTATTGGTTTATTTTGCTAATAACCAACCGTTATATATATACAAATTTTTTTTAGTCAAATTCTTTTGATCTCGTGAATTTCCCTTGTCAAATGCCAAGCATCTTAAGTCAAAGAAATTACATATTGAAGTGAGAGTAAAATCACAAATATTTTGCAACAATTACAGGGAAAAATTCACTAACTATAATAATTAAGGAAAGCGAAGTTCTCGCGGCTTTACAGAAAAAATTGACCATTCTAGACTGACACCAACGAAAGTCCATACATTACCACACCGACCGAATAGTACAACATTATACTTACATGAGAACTACGATGGAAAATGTGCAAACCAAACCATTATTGTAGGTATATAGATTGTATTAAATAATTTGAAACGAAAAACTTGGAAATCATTTACACCTACTATATATTGTAGTATGTAAATATATGCAATTTTTAATATTAAACTAGCAAAAAGTTTGTCTAGATGTAAATCTAACTCATCCTCAATGACAAATTTGCTTTGAAGCATTTGCCATGTCATTAATATGTAATGAAAAAACTGTAAGAAATCGGTGAACTAAATACTCGTTTATAAGACCTGGGAATGGGTTTCAATGCCGTAATTTGTATATCTATATATGCAGTTTTAAATATTCCGGAATAGTCAAAATTATTAATAAAATTTCAATTGTTTTCAATATTTATGTATCTATACTGAAAGGAACTCACTTTTTATTTAATAGACTATACTTACATTATCGTAATTATCTGATCAATGTAAGCGCACGTTGGACAAAGGCAAAAAACCTTGAATGGCTTTAAGGGTGATGTATTTGGTAAAATCACTTTTTGAAAATTGGCATGTGCTAGTGTAAAAGATTCCCAAAACCAGTTAGATCAATGATAAGTTTGAATTTTGCTTTTACATAAATATGGTTTAAAGCAAATGTGCTCCCGCCAAAGTTTCCTTGGCTCCGTTTGGCACCCAACAACATCAAATGGCTTCGTTTTTTTTGAAAACTATTACAAGAAACACAACATTTTTTTAGAATAACACGTCTGGCTCGTGGTAGCCCGCTCGAAATTAACGGGATTTACTTAGCCTTTGAAAACATTACTTTGTTGTTAGTTCAATATAAGTATAGTTTTGAGTCGACGTTTTTTTTCATTCTAAGAACATTCTAAGTTATTGTAGTTTTTATTGCTGTTTTAGTGTGGCTTGGTGAAACAGTAATCAGGCTGGAATATTGTTAAGTATATATGCACAATCACGTGGAGCGGTTAACAATTTTTTAATCGTGAGTCGAACTGCAGTAACCAACAATCACAACGCGAATTTTTAGCTGGCAGTCACACACTACTTGTGCTTTAAGAGAATATAGAATGTATATAACTTCTGGAAAAGTAATTTGCATAATTTTAAACAGGCGTTTCTGCTAATTTTACTTCCGTGCCATCAACGTATTTAATGCAAAACGGCAGTTAATTGAAAGTTTTTTGCAATACGCAGCGTTCTGCAGAATCTGACCAGTATATATTGGTGCAATAGCTTTAAGAAACATCTAAAAATTCCATTCGTAATTTTGGAAAGAGTGTCGACGTCACCAATTCCAAAAACAGTAGCAATTTTTGCAACCGACGCACTTTCTCCTGATGAACCCGATTTAAATAAAACTATTGCAAGTTGTAGCTCTACTGAAAGCTGTTTACTCTTGCATTTTGTGAATGATTCGTCATTTGAAATCTAGTGTTAAAAGATGATTAAGTTGTGGTCGATTTACTCGTAACATTTGACGGAAGCGATTCTCATCTATTGAGGTCAGAATATCTAAATGCCGATGGATTGATTATAAAACAAAATTTACAACTCCCTTCCGACATTTCATGACAATGTACAAATCTTCATATAGTTCGTCAAACACGTTGTCCACTTCATCTTCTATGTTTTTTCTAAATATAATAAATTTAAAAAACAACGAATAACAAATAACAATGCTGCGTGTGAAAATCCCTACTGTTTTCATTTTCTTTATCGGTGTGTTTCAGTAAATTTGTTATTAAAATCAACTATCGATGCTAGTTACTTCTTATGCATATTTTTAGGGACATTTTTTTAAAAGACCCCAAAGGGTTGATCGCTTTGTCACAGTGCAATACAAATTATATATTACTGGCGTTTCTGTGCCACCGAAAAAGGTTACAAACATATATACAGGTGAAGGTAATAAGCACTTTAAAAATGCTGCTTTCGTGAGTAATTTTGCAAAACAGAAGGTTTGTAGAAGATCAAGATCCCACGAAAATGTTTGCTATTGCTTAAGTTAAATTCCTCATGAAGTGTGAAAAGCTTAATGTTGACTTAAGTGGGGTCGTTCCATAAAATACCTTATAAAGATTCATTTTGCTCAGTCCTTTTTTATTACTCTTCATAAGCAAAATCTATCTCTAGCCTGTTATTATTGTTGTTTTGGTAGTGCTGATTTGAATCCAGTTTAGTATTGAGGTTGACATAAACTTATTTTGAATTATTTGGATTATTTTTGCACGATTATTATTATTTTAGTTGACCCCTTGTTGGTATATTTGTGGCTCCGGAGTGCAGTCTCCTTCAGAGAAGTGACACTCTGATAGCAGAATGGCGATACTAACCTTGAGCTCACTAACCGTGCGTCAACCTGCTTAAGGAATATCTAACCTCGTTATCAATGGTATCGAGTCATTTTGCGATAAGATGAGTATGGATGCCAGGCCACAGGGAAATCGCACATAACTATGAAGCTGACGAGCTGGTAAAGAAAACACCCTAACCCCGCCATCAATAGAATGGGAACCGGTCGCTGTTCCCTTCTCCTCTGTTCTACTACTGGTTAGCTGGGTTTCGCGACAGCTTTACCAGCGGTGGACTACCATCGCTTCATGTGGTGTCGCTAGATCCTTTTGGCCCAAGATCGATCGTGAGAGATCCAGTGAGCTCTTTGCCCTGAGTAAGGCTAGCTTATCTCTAGTTTATCAGGCCATTGCCCAATCGGCGTCCATGTTGTAAGGTTGCGAACCTAACGGGAAGCCAACTGCACACTTCCTTGTTGCTTGTTCCACGTTTGTTAGTTCAAGTCTTAAGCACTTGAAAGCTCACGTGTTCAGATATCTCACCGAGTTGGTGAAAATAGAAATTAAACGCCTGAGCGAATTTGCATTGGCCGTAATGTGCTGACTTATAAAATAGAATACAGGAGTTCTGTTCTTATGGTTTCACAAGGGACTGCATATATGTAGTAGTCCAAGTGCGATACCTGCGTCAGCCATCGAATCGAACCTAGCCCAACCTAGGTTACCTCTTGGTTGGCATATTCTAATAATTTTCTAAGTAACAAAAATATAACCGTGCTTTATTTTCTACCAAAAAAGCTTCCAAAGTCATCAACTGAATCTAACTTCCCACTAATTGACAAAATATTGGGATTTATATCTTATGTCAAGCAACTGCATAATTTTACCGTTAACGTGCTTGAGTGTTTTCATTTCGCCCAAACAAAAAGCCAAATTCAATAACTTGCCTGAATTATAGCCCTGCAGCGATTTTAATCCATGCTGTGTAATCTCATGCATAAATCAACTCCATTTACAAACGCCCAAAAAATACCTCAGGCGATATTTAAGATTTAAAAAGTCCACGAAGAAGGGAGAGTCATGACAGGATAAGCGTGACGAACATGCAAATACCTTTAATGAAGAAGCAAAATACACGCAAAAATTAAAGCGCGAAAACTAAATAAAAGCAACAACAACAGCAATAAGTGACTGCTATAATAATAGTAATGTATAAAATATTTAAATATTTCCACGACTTAATGTTGTGCAAAAAGAATTTCACTCATTTACACTCGACACCTGAGCTGTGCATGATGCGAAAATACTTAGACGCTCACCTACATGTATGTAAGTATGCGTGTTTGTATACGTGTGTGCTTAAGTAGTTGTGCTTTAAGCCCTTGGTAGACGCTCGACGGGTAATCGCAGCCGCGCCACTCAGTGCCGACAGGCGGACGGGCCATCAACCGCTGCAGCTAACTGTCACCCCGCGAACTCTTCGAACCCCTCGACCATATTTAAAAGTGTAATACGAGCCGTCATTCTACAGAATATACTACTTATATATATCTACTTATACTTTTATTTTATAAACCAACTCTGTGAAGCTCGGTGGGCAGATGGAGAGGAGCGCTTGTGAGGACAAGTCAGTGTGGGTGTGTTTTCTCAAGAAAAAATTAAAAAGGAAAACGCTCAAGACGTGCGAAGTATGCAAATATTTACAGAACCTCAGACTAATAAGTGTGAATAAGCGAAATCCTCGGAGCGTTTTGCCACGCAAAATGAAAATACCGAGAGAAAGAGGAAGAAAATAAGAAAAGAAAAAGGCAAAAAAAAGACGAAAAAGGAAATACGAAAAGAAATGAAGCGCAATAAATGAATGAGTGAGCGAATGAGAAACGACAGTGCTGCCAGGCGGATATATGTGACCACTCGAACTCGAGACGTCTAAGGGTCAGAAGTTTTTATTTATTTTTTTTTCATTTTCATTTCTATTTCCATTTGTATTTAATTTCTCCACATTTTCTCACAATGCCAGGACAAATGTCGAGTTAGCAAGCCGGCTATCCCACTGCGAGGTGTGAGAAATGAATAATGCGAACATGCAAAAAGATCTTGCACAGGTATCTGCAGGTATACGAGAGCAATAGGACCGTAGCGTTGCGTCCAAAAGGGGGATAAATACTAGGTAATTGGCATTATGCAGACGATGTGTGGTCTCTGCCGCATGGAATAGAGTGCATGGGGCAATGGGTATAAGGCTGTGGTGGTATGTAAGTTCAAGGCGACTTGGTGGTCAGTGTGCAATCACAAACCTCACTCTCCCCCAACAGCCTGCTGTGCCGCTGTCCTTACTGCTGACTCAAGAATTGATGTCCGCCGCTGTGTGGTGTGCACAGGGTCGACAGCAGAGCCGAGGAGTCACCGAGCAGTGCATTTGATATGCAAAGTAGTTAAATGAATATGTGTTCGTTGGCGTCAAGAGTGTCGTGTTTACAATCTTTACGTTCCTTTTGATGGCTTTTCATTTATTGCAGGCTCTTATGTTGTTGTTATTATTGTTGTTGTGATTGTCCTTCAGTCTACTTGATTCTGTTTTGTATTTTGTGTTGTTAACACATGTTTTCGATTTGCTTCAAATGCATGTTCGTTCGTTTGACTTGAGCGCAGTGAGCTTTTATAGCTTTTAAATGGTATATCTTACATCCATCAGCATAATGCAGTTAAACACTTGAGTGAGTTGTACATCTACGTGCATACATATATACACACATACATGAGTAGAAATATAACGCAAACAGTTAAGACTGGCGTTGTTAAAAGAAATTGTGTGTGCGAAAATTGTCAGCGTAATTAAATTGAAGAGCGTTTAAGTGTGTTCCCTCAAGAGTTAAGAGAAGAGAAGAAGAAAGTAAATATACATACATGCATAGACTTGTAAAGTACATACTTAATTGGAGGTGGCGTGTAGTAGCATGATGTTTGACTTTGAACATAATATAAATATCTAAATCTACAAAATAAATAACTAAAGTGTAATTTTCATGCGCTAAAGCAAAAAAAAATAAAATAAAATAAAAGAAGTTAACTCAACTTATTATAAAAAAGGTAAGGCTTGTAAAATAAATTTTAAAGTTTTCTTTAACAACATTAGTCCTGATATAATAATTTTTCAAATCACTCATTATAATCTAAATTAGCTATTTGGAGAGAGTAGTCGTAATTAAGTGTCAGCAACAATACACAACAAGGAATAGTCGGAGACCGTACAAAATGTATACTATATGGTGAGTCGATGTACGTCAGTCCGTCTGCGAACTAGACAGTTTATCATTTATCGATTTAAAATTTTTCACACGTCTTTTTCTCCCAAGAAAGCTGGTCAATTATTGCAGCAGCACCGATCTCGGACCACTATAGCAAATAGCTGCCATACAAACTGAACGATCAAATATGTCCTTGTATGACAAACTTTTTTATTTGTAATTCTTCACGAAGTTTGGAATGTATTATTATCCAAAGCAACGGCTCAATCTCCTAAGAAATTGTTCAGATCGGACTACTATAGCATATAGCTTTCATCTGGGGAAGTTGTTATAGCCTCGATGTAACCGAGGTTCAAGTTCTTTTTTGTTTATGTTAAATTATAGCAGGAAAGTTATCTAAAAATTATTTACCAAATTTGTGATATTTCAGGAAACTTCAACACTTCCAGTTTTCACAATATAGATAGCTGATCATTCCTGATCTACGTAAAATAATCCTCACCTTCATTTGATACCGATATAGCTATATTGAAATTACTTTATGCATTTGTTTCTTTAAATTTTTAAGCAAGTGAAAACGATGAAAGAAAACTCTTAAAATTTAATTTGGTAAATTATTGCCCATTCTGTGATAGCCAGTCTCTTAAAAGATAAACCCTTAATGTTGCTACCCGACCTATAACATTCTATATATTTTAAGCATTGCAACCTGTATAAATGAATTCGTATTTTTACATATATAAAATAAAATAATTTTTTGTTTTAGCAACTAGTTTATTTAATTTAATTATAAGTTTGCTTTGTTTATATTACCAGTTCAATTGATTAGAAATTTGCAATAGGTAGCAACGCCCCTAAAAAAAATTCAACAGGAACCTTCCAAAAAGCTTTATATAGATATTTACATAATAGTATTTGGTTAATTGAATTTAATAAAAAATGTAAACAGATGGAAATCCTTTCTAAATTCTACATTAACATATTTTCATCAGAAAGTCTTTTGAAACTTTTTATTTTAAGTTTTTATTGATCTAATTTATTTATTTCAATTATAAATAGATGTCAACCTTCAAAACATATTTTCAACCAAATGAATTTTTAAACTTCTAAAATCGATTCTCTTTGTTAATTTTGAAATCCGTTGGAATTTTTTTGTGTTTTTTTTTACTTTGAGTTGATAAATATACCTTTGTGGATGATGTGCCAACTTGGCTATTGACATTTTCAAGATTTCAACGCCATTTATCAAAATTAAAACCATTTACACTTTTTTTACCTTTAAAAACAAACTTTAGAAGCATAGACGATTTTTTCGTGATCAATGCTTTGAAGATCAAAAAGTTTTTGAAGCGCCTTAGTAAATTTTTAAGATTTTAGGCATGTTGAGATGTATCAGAAAATTTTTTTTTCGAACTTGAAAACATTCACCGCCTGCAACACATCTTTATACTTCATATAGGGTTACCTGGAGAAAATTAATTCGGTATTCCAATTCCTAATATTTGGTCATAATTAAAATATATAAGTTTTGAAAAAAAGTTCCGCTTGGCACATTTGTCCTGAAACTGATAAACAGGGTTGATTTCTGGTAATTCTCTGTTCTTAATCTTTAACCGGGTGTGGTCTTAGCAGTACAATAAAACTTTATTGGTTCAACATTTATCGTGATTTTAACAAATAGAAAAATATATTTTGTATAGAGGGTTGATTTGATTTGATTATGGGCATGAAATTTTTGGAAAATGAACCCACCCTATAATGTGTTTAGTCTGCTAATATAACTGCGTCAACTTAAGTTGGGAGAAATGCTGCATTTTAACAATTGAAATTTCTACAAATGAAATACAAATTTAAAACTGCAGTAAATATGCTTATATGACTCATATTCGATACTCTAATGCATAACGCCAAAAACATAACACAGCATATGTTACCACAGTGTTAACATAGCAATTTCCCAGTGATTATCAAGGTAGTTCTGGTTTCTGCCTCTCAAATTACTTTGTCGATATGGTTCAAGCCATTTGTATTATATCCATTATTTGAAAATGGATCATATATTGCGTCATCTGGCATCTCCCCTTAAAAATAGGAGTATTAGTAGAAAATTGAGTTTGCAGACAGCTACAACAATAGATGCCTTTACAAATTTATATTTTAGAGTGTTTGAAGTACCTGAACTTAGCTTTTTCTTCAAACCCTTTAAGCCAAAGTGAAATTCCATGAACTCTTTTTTATAATATTAATTTGTTTAATCTATCTCTACACATTTCAAAAACGAATTCTTATGACTAACAAATTCATTTTTGAAAATAGAAAACAGCGGAGGAACTCACAATTAATTTCATCCATTTCGATACACTTTATGAAAATAAAAGTTAGGACAGATATTTAATAATTTATGTCATATAATATCAATTTCAGTTTTGCGAAGATAAAACATTTTTGAAAAAGCGCTTTTGAGCAGTCTCTTAACATAGGTCGAACAATAGCCAAAAACTTAAATTTGCCTTTTCATTTACCACAACCTTCATATATTGGGTGAAACCAACAACAACACTGACGTTTCTAACACAAACAAAGCATCCTCTCTTAAAGCAATTAGGAATATAAAATAATTAATGTTTGGTAACAAAATTAATCAGCCGCGCTTTACATGCTTTGTAAATGAGCGAAGACTCAGGCTGTTTGTGAATATTAAAATCAAATAATCTTACATTGCTTCGAATCTCCGCTATTAATGCCACGCTGCATATCAATCAAGGAGAGGCAGCTAGAAAGACGTTCATTAGATGTGATGGCACGAGTTTTGAGTTTGCTAAGCGCTTTATACCCGGGTAAAAAGGAGGGCAAGGGTGGAAGTTTGATATGTATTGATACTTATATTTAAATTTGTGAGCAGACGACGACAGCATAACGATGACGTAGTGACACACTGACGACAATCGATGACAAAGGCGAACAGCAGGCTTTTGTTGTTGTTACGAATGACAAGGTTAAGCGTGAAATAGCGAGTGTTCACTGCTGGTTTTCCCAGGCGGCTTAACCCCTTTGTTAAACTCTCGCATAAGAACAGTAGTTAGTGTAACGATGCCGCTGCCTACAAACGAAGCAACTCTGTGCTCAGCGCATAAGTATTCCATACACTTGTGCAGTATAATGGACCATGGCGTAAGTACTGGAAGAGCTTTGGCGCTTTGGTGTACTTTTCAGTTGATATCTATTTTTATATAATTTTCCACTTAAACGACTCAACAGTAACTCCCAACGTGCGCAATGTCGCGACACACATACATATACAGCAATTGTTGCCCACTTTCATCGAATCGTTATGGTGTCTCAGCACTAGTATAGCGCTACAGAGATGTGTCGTCGGAAAATTCATTGCTGCCTCCAATTTTTAAGTAGCAATTGCTCTTGAGCTCCTCTTAAGCCCCATTACTTGCTCATACCCATTTTATAGCTTTTACGCCCCTTCACTTAAGCCGATATCTCTATTGCAATACATAAATACATCCAACCGTACATATAATATTTGCCAGCATCGCCGTCATCGAATTGTTGGGTAAATGGCGCATTTCGTACCTGAAAAGCTGAAATTGATGCTCGCTGATGGTAACAAATTAAGTTTAACGATTGAGCTGGCAACCAAGTAATGAACTCCTGCCACCTGCGTCCTGTTTAACCATGTTCGGGCTGCGGCGCGGCATCGTAACTTAGTTACGATATCGATTTCGTTTGCGGTAAAAGCGCTGCTCGAACTCACAAACGGAATGGCAAGCGAATATTCGGCTGGCACTTGATGGAGACGGCACTTGGGCTGCTATTCGAGAGCTTCGCTTTTTTCCACAGACTCATTGGTTGAATCGCCTGGCTTGCCACATAAAGTGTTGTTAATATGAGTACATATACATGCTGTCTGTGTATATTCAAATGTTGAAGTGGAAAATATGGCTTAGAGTTGTTACGGTAGTTTAAATGGACCTAGAAAGCTTTATAAATGGAAGCTGAGAACTACAAGCGCGTTGAGTCGATATAAGTAAAGTAGAGTAGAGTAAAGTAAATTTACAGACAGTAGGTAGTACCGTTGATAAGTGAGAAATGAGATGCGAAAACCACTGTTACTTAAAAAAATACTTAAATTTTAGCCCAAGTAAAGTTGAGTGAAACGTGAATTAAAACCACGGCTGTTTTCAATTTCCAAAAATAAAGAACGTTAACTGCGGTTGTACCGAAACTATAATACACTACACAAATGTATATGATTCCATAAAAGAACTTGATTTTTATCGTTCAGTATGTATGGCAGCTCTATGATCCAGTGGTCCTCTATGGTCCGGTGGTTCCCACAGATGGCCAGATTCTTGGTGGTCAAATTTCAGATCAATATCTCAAAAACTGAGAAACCAATTCGCATGTATATAGACAGACGGACAGAAAAACATTCGGACATGCCTAAATCGACTTAGCTCGTCACGCAGATCATTTATACAATGAAGGGTCTCCGACGTTTTCTTCTGGGTGTACCAAACTTCGTGGCAAACTGAATACAGGGTATATAAAAGGGTATAAAAATATATAAAAATTGTCAATAGCATTCAGCTGGTAATGTCTAAGCTCCCATTGTATTGATAACGGTTGTAACGTTTGAATACCACTCCATTAAGTGTAAGTTCAAACGTGTTTGGGGCAGATTAATGTTCAACAATAAATCTCTAATTGTATTCCGAGCTTTGGGGATCCTTCATTTGCCAAATTTCATGAAAACGCCCGACCCAAGGGATAAGAAGAAGAGAAGAAGTAAATTCAGCAATACTACAAGTGAACAAATAATCGTTTATA